GCTGACAGCAGAGAGCCTGATGCAGGGCTTGAACTGACGAACCATGAGATCATGACCTGAGCTGAAGTCAGACGCTTAAACCACTGAGCCACCCAGGCGCCCCCGCATAGTTTTTAAAAAAGCACTGACCCCCGCCCCCAACAAAAGAAAAGAAAAGTGAAACAAAGTTAACTGTGTATAGATTTGGAGCAATAACTACAACAGGAACGGTTTCATGAGACCTGGAAACTCCATCTGTACATCAGGGTTTCTCAGACTGAACACTCCTGATATTTTGGGCCAGATAATCTTTTGTTATCGGTTTGTCCTGTGCACTGCGGCATGTCAGCAGCACCCAAGGTTGGCAACACTTGGCGCATCCTGTCACACACCATTGCTGGGGGAAGTAAGTGCTGCATGTGCGACTCCACTGGGAGACAGTTTTAAAATGTAGGAGGCAAGGATGTTCCAGGCCACAAGGAGTCACTGGAGAGGGACCAGGGTTGGTCAGGAGGCAGAGGCAGTGAGGACATGTGCGCAAGAGCCATTATTGTAAAGGGGAAGGAAATGATGGGGCAGGGTAGGCTGACTTGGGACCGGCTAGTTGGACTCATTTCAGTGGTCTCTGAGGCACAAGAGGTGTCCCTGGTTTTCTAGTACCTGGACCAGGGCGGGGAGTGGGCTCAACTGTTGTAGGTGGAGTGTGGCCGAGTGGGAGAGCCCTATAAAGCAGGTGGCTGGGGTATGAGCTCTGGAGGCCTTAGTTTCTTTACTTTGTGTGTGTGTGTGTATGTGTGTGTGTGTGTGTGTGTGTATTAGAGATAGAGAGAGAGACAGACAGACAGTGGGCGAGCAGGGAAGGGGCAGAGAGAGATAGAGACAGAATCTGAAGCAGGCATCAGGCTCTGAGCTGTCAGCACAGAACCTGACGTGGGGCTTGAACTCACAAGCTGTGAGATCATGACCTGGGCTGACGTCGGACACTTAACTGGCTGTGCCACCCAGGTGTCCCTGGAGGCTTAGTTTCCATCTTTTACTATCTCTGGGAGTTGGCTACCCTCTCCGGGCAGTCTCTCCAGGGCGAGTAAGGCCCCGGATGTCAAAGCAGCAGAAGCACACGGCTGATAAGGGAGGACAACCAGAGTCTTGCACCTGGACTGCGCCCACGTGCATTTTCTCTCGGCCGCGTTTAACCTGTATCCTTTCAGGGGCACGTGGGAGGCTCGGCAGGTTAAACATCCGACTTTGGCTTGCAGTTTGTGAGTTTGAGCCCACAGTGTGAGGCTGTGAGAGCAGAGCCTGCTTCGGATTCTCTGTCTCTCTCTCTGTGTCCCTTCCCTGCTTGCTTGCGTGCATGCGCATGCTCTCTAGAAATAAACATCCGGAGCACTTGGGTGGCTCAATCTGTTGAGAGTCTGACTTTGGCTCAGGTCATGATCTCACGGTTCACGATTAGGAGCCCCACATAGGCTTGGTGCTGTGAGCCTGTCAATGCAGAGCCCCCTTCAGATCCTCTGTCCCCTTCTGTCTGCCCCTCCCCCACTTGCGCTCTCCCAAAAATAAATATTAAAAAAAAAAGATTAAAAAAAATATGTATCCTTTTGCTGAGTGAAACAGTAACTACAATAGCTTTGCTGAATTCCAGGAGTCTGTCCAGTGAATCTTTAAACCTAAAGGTGGTCTTGGGGGGTCCCTGACCGCTGCTAAAACCATGAGGTGAAAGGGTGATTGGGAACTTCCTAACGGAATAGATAAGACTGAGCCCACGGAGCCCACTGCTCACTCACTGACAGTAGGACAGCCATATGTTCTGTCCCTCTTGAAGGATGCGACAGAAGTGCAGAATCACCTAAGAAGCTTTCTCGGCAAATCAGCAGAAACTGAATCTAATCAAGCATCTACACGAACTGCAAATTTATAGGAAATATGGGAATAGAGGAACCTGTTAAACAACACTGGCAGGGAATAAGTGGCTGAATTCAGAATGTGAGCTTTTACACAGGACAAATGACCCATTTGTTAAACACATAAAAAGGAATATGAACTGTTAGAGATTTAGTGAGACAAAGACAAATCAATCACATACACAGTGTGGAACTTTTTTTGGGTCTTAATGTGAACAAATCAGTAGTGAAAAAACATTTTTGAAACAACAGGGGAAAACTAAACACAGCCTGAATATTAGATATTAAGGAGCTAGTGTTAATTTTATTGGGTGACATACAATGGCTAGGATTTGCTTTAGAAAGCTCCAAGCGCCTGGGCGGCTCGGTTGGTTAAGCCTCCGACTCTTCGTTTCAGCTCAGCCCATGGTCTCATGGTTCTTGAGTTTGAGCCCTGTGTCAGGCTCTGTGGTGACAGTGTGGAGCCTGCTTGGGATTCTCTCTCTCCCCTCTCTCTCTGCCCCTCCCTGCCTCTCTCTCTCTCAACATAAAAAAATAAACTTAGAAAAAAAAAAAGCTCTAAGGGAAAAAACTGGAGGAGTCAGGGGAAGAGCAGCTCAGGTAACAACAGCACAGGCTGGTGGTTAAGTCTTGCAGATGAGTACACGGGGTCCACTGCCCTGTTCAATTTTTGTGTCCATTTAACATTTTCAAAAACCCATTTTAGAAGAGTTAGGAGAAAAATAAAGTTAAAAATTAGAAGCAGTTATCAGTGAAAAATGGGTTAAGAAACATTAAAAATGCATGACCTAATGAAATGTAGGAAATTTGAGAGCCTGCCACTATTTCAGAGATGTGATTTTAAGGCATAGGTGAGATCATAAGGGTTTTAGGAGGCGAAAGTGAAATGCAGGAAGTTGGATGTCAAAGTGCCACTTTTAGCTCTTGAGAAGACAGTTAGTAAAGAGCTGCCTTTTGTCCGTAGCCTTCGGGGTTCTCCCAGTTTCTATTCTGAAGTCCAAATGTACGGGTGGTTTTTGCATTTAGTTTTTTTTGCTACTGATTTGACAAATTTACCGTAAAATTTAAGAGTAAAAACACATCGTCTCTTTCCATTCTCATACAAATCTTTACCCTTTATTTCTTTTTAACTTTTTAAAAAATGTTTATTATTTTTGAGAAACAGAAAGAGAGACAGAGAGCAAGCGGGGGGAGGTCAGAGAGAGAGGGAGACACAGAATCCGAGGCAGCTCCAGGCTCACGGCTGTCAGCACAGAGCCTGACGTGGGGCTCGAACCCACGAACCGTGAGATCATGACCTGAGCCGAAGTCGGACGTGTAGCTGACTGAGCCACCCAAGCGCCCCCAAATCTTTATCCTTTGAATAGCATCACATAAGAGAGAGGTTACGACCTGTGGATAAAAGCTCCCGCTAGTTGCTACACTAACTGCTGTCATAAACGTGAGGCTTGGGGTGAAGTAAAGAATCTCTCTGATTACAGCAGCATATGGGAGAGCCTGGCCTCCAGGTAGTGGTGTTTTTGCCTTTCTTTTCTGCTATCTGAAAAGACTTCTTATGGAAAAACACTCAAGGATAATTTGTTATGACAAGACTTGTACTACTTCTGTAATTAAAAGAAAATTAAGAACGTATGCTCACATACAACCTTGTACAGGAATGTTCACAGCAGCACTACTCACAATAGCCAAAAAGTGGAAACAACCTATGAATGGCTAAATAGGACATATGGGATAAATGCTGTTTTTATCCCATAAAAAAGAATAAAGTACAGGTGGCTTCTAAGCATCTGACTGCGGCTCAGGTCATGATCTCATGGTTCGTGAGTTCAAGCCCTGCACTGGGCTCGCTGCTGTCAGCACAGAGCCCACTTTGGATCCCACTTTGTTTTTTTTTTTAAATGTTTTTTTATTTATTTCTAGGAGAGAGAGAGAGAGAGAGAGAGACAGCGTGAGCAGGGGAGGGTCAGAGAGAGAGGCAGTCACAGACTCTGAAGCAGGCGCCAGGCTCTGAGCTGGCAGTCAGCACAGAGCCCGACGCGGGGCTCGAACCCATGAACCGCGAGACCATGACCTAAGCGAAAGTCGGACGCTCAACCGACTAAGCCACCCAGGCGCCCCTGGATCCCACTTTGGATCCTCTGTCCCCTTCTCTCTCTGTGTCTCTCCCGCTCATGCTCTGTCAAAAATAAATAAAACATTTAAAAAAAAAAAAAAAGGACTAAAGTACTGATTCGTGCTTGTGCTACTGTTTCATGCTGTTAACATCATGAATCTTGAAAACATTATGTTAAGCGAAAGAAGCCAGTCACAAAAGACCATGTATTATATGATCCCAGTTAAGTGAAATGTTGAGAACAGGCAAATCCTATAGACAGAAAGTAGAACCTGGTTGCCCTGGGGCTGGGGTGAGGGTGGGGCTGACTGGAAACGGGGAGCACCTGCTAAGGGGTACCATACTGGATTGATGAGGGTCCCCCCACCTCGAATATAGAACAAAATATTCTAAAATTATGGTGATGGTTGTGCAACTCTGTGGATATACTAAAAGCCACTAAATTGTATACTTTCAATGGGTAAATTTTATGGAATATAAATTAGATCCCAACAAAGCTGTTATTAAAAAACATTTAAAGCTATACAAGAATGAGAGGAGCCTGGCTGGCTCAGTCAGTGCAGTGTGTGACTCTTGGGGTCATGAGTTCAAGCCCTATACTGGGTGTAGAGACTACTTAAAAATAAAATCTTAAAAAAAAAAAAAAGCTATACCAAGATGCTAAAGAACTTTGAGAAGGGCTTTGGGTAATCCTGACGTGAAGATCTTCCCTTTCCATCAATAATTTAAGGAGCAGAGAGGTTGAGAGTTAAATATTAGATGTTGGTTAAAACAGGATTGGTGACTAGGTCTGCTGCTGATTTGCTATATGGCCTTTTGGACAGAACTGTTTGATTTGAAAGCCATTGACAACCTACTCAAACAGGCTTAACCAAAACAGTCATAGGAATTTATCTCACATACTTGGAAGTCCAGGGTGGGCACTGGCTTCAGGCATCCAAACAAGGTCATGGGAGCTGACTCTTTTGGTGGTTTCCTGTTTTACTGCCTTCGTTCTCAAGCTGGCTGCCTCTGTGTGGCGGCAAAGGCAGGCACAGACAGACAGTCCCACGATGCTGTGGCCCGTAGAGCTCCTGAACCGAGAGGAGAGAGCATCTGTCCTGCTCGCTCTCACAGTGGTGCCAGGATTGTACGGGGCTGCCTCACAACCTGAGAGCCGGGGAGTGAGGTCTGCTTCAACCAAGCCCCGTGGAAAGAGCAGGAAAGGATGGCCATCCAAGGGAAGAAGTGGCATTTGTCCACTATGCCAAGGGAGCCCTAAAACTTGCAGAGGTTCGAACACCATCTCAGCCCAAGAAATACTTGCCAGATCAATGCAAGAACGCACAAAGTGGAGCTACTGCAGAGTACCTTTAAGCGTCACAGTCCAAATTCTTATTCCATATTTTAGAGAAGCAATAACACACAAGTCAGGACAGATGCCAAGGGCATCAGCAAGATGAGGTTTTAGCAGAGAGAGATGTCAGTCAAGTATAGATAGTTCTGTGTTCCAGAATTCTGTCCATATTACACAGAAGAGATATGTCACTCTGGCAGATGGCAGACTTTTTTTCCTGACTCAGCCACAAGAAAAGCTAAGTCTTGTCCAGCACAAAGGAAGAAGCCGTCCAGTACAAGCAGCGGGAAAACACTCTGCTACCAGTGTTTGCAGTTTGCCCTTCTTATTTAAACTGGTGGTAGTCCGGTGGGTTTCTGATCCAGGATCCAAAGGCCTGCTTCCGGAGCACCCTCCAGGCTTCCTGGTAAGTAGACGCAGCCTCCTTGTACTCGTGGTACGTCTCCAGCGTCTGCGCCCTAATGCACACACACCAGCAAGCACACAGGTTCTCACTAATCAGCTCAACATGGGGGCCCACAGAGCGATCAGCTGGACAGACGTCTCACCAGAGACTAGGAACAGACCTAGGAACGGGAGATTTCGGTAGGCTTTCCGACAGCTACTCTCTCTCCAGTGTAGGAAATTCACTAGAAAGCAACATGGAGGGGCGCCTGGGTGGCTCAGTTGGTTAAGTGTCCGACTTCAGCTCGGGTCATGATCTTGTGGTCCGTGGGTTCGAGCCCCGCATCGGGCTCTGTGCTGACAGCTCAGAGCCTAGAGCCTGTTTCAGATTCTGTGTCTCCCTCTCTCTCTGCCCCTCCCCAGCTTGCGCTCTGTCTCCCTCTGTCTCAAAAATAAACGTTAAAAAAAATTTAAAAAGAAAAAAAAGAAAGCTATATGGATTGAAACAGGTGAGTAAAGGGGGCACCTGGGTGGCTTAGTTGGTTAAGTGTCCGATTCTTTTGCCTCAGGTCATGATTTCCTGGTTCATGAAATGGAGCCCCACACGGGGCTCTATACACTGACCATGTGGTCCCTACTTGGGATTCTCTCTATCTGCCCCTCCTCTGCTTGCACGCCAACTCTCTCAAAATAAATAAACATTAAAAAAAAAACCAGGTGAGAATAAACAATGCTAGTCTTGTCTGGTCCTCTCGGAATCAGGTAAAACAAGAATAACTACATTTTGGTTTATAGAGTTCTGGGAAATGGCTTCCTGCACAGTCCGTTTCCCTGTAAGGCTCAGATAAGGTTCACGGATGTCCCCTTGGTTTACCTATGATAGACCCTCAAACTCCCATTCTCTGTCTCATAATGACTAGCTGAACTCTTTCCACGCACACACCAATCTCGACAAAATTCTTGCTTCCCTGACCAACATTAGATACGCTTCTGTCCTTCCCCCAGACCCTGGGCTTTGACCCACCCGCAGCCTGGGCCAGCGTCACAATATGCAGTGACCTATTCTTAAAGGCCCCTCCTGACAACTGATCTCAAGAAAAGATGTTCCGTCTACTTGTCCCATCGCACCAGCTGCGCATCCCAGGCCCCCGTCCTCTTCTTTCCGGCTCTGCTCACCGCTGCCCCCGAAAGGCATACTCCCTCCGCCTGCCCTGGAGGCTTACAGACCTTAGGACTGGAGTGTCCTCACTGTCATCAGTCCTGCTGCTGCTGGTAACAGCCCCTGCAATGATCCTTTTGAGTAAAATCTCTCTTGACCTTAGTCCACGTTTGTTTTCACTGACACACAAAATGTACGGAAACCCCCTGGTTAGTGTGATTCATTTTTCCAGACAAAAAAAAGCAAGCAAAGTGACTACTGACCAAACTGACTGGAGCTCATCATTACCAACTGCAGTACGCAGGACGGCCACAACAAGCGGCCAGCCTCTTCAAATAGCCTCTTCTAGCAACGCCTTGGCTTCCCCCCTGCTGTACAATAAAGAATTTGGCTGGTCTTGTTGCCGGTTCCTGGGAGGCAACCTTCAAAGACTCAGGATTTCCCAAGGGACAGGAATGTCTTTGTTATTCGTGGCAGACCCCTCTGATCACACCTGAGTTTATACTTAGTGAGGTGACTCCTGGTGGGCCCTAGATAGATCAGGAAGGGGCTGGCCATGCCAGAAAGACTAACCACAGAGTAGACTTGGGTCTGTGATACCCGTCTGACCCTCCTGATGGGAGGCGGAGATGGAGAATGAGTTCAGTCACGTCATGTGGCCAGCGAGTCATTCAGGTGTATGTAATGAAACCACAGTGAAGGCGCTGGACACTGAAGCTTGGGTCCCCCTTCTGGTTGGTGATACACAGTAATGTGCTGGGAGGGTGACACATCCTGAGGACATAGACGCATTGTGTTTGGTACCCCCTCAGACCCTGCCCTGTGTGTCCCTTCTTTTAGCTGGTCCTGATCTATATTCTCCACAATAAAAAGTAACTGTAGGTACAGTGCACTCCTGAAGTTGAGCTGTTCCAGTGAATTAGTGAACCTAAGGGCGTAGCAGGAACCCGAGTGTGCAGTCAGTGGTCACAAGCGTAACTGGCTTGGGGGCCCTGGAGCTTGCATCTGGTGTACGAAGTGAGGGCACTGACCGTGAGTAGTTAAGTGCCTGAACTACCCACCCACCTGCCCCTGGAGTGGTTTTATACTTCTCTCCATTCCTGTCTGGGAGCAATTTCAGTCGTAAAGCTGCAGCAGAGAAACAGAGGAGTGATGTTCCTAACAGACTCTATTGCTCTCTAAGCACTCACACGTCCGCCCTGCTCTCTGCCTGGAGTGGGGAGAAGGGAGGGCCCGGAACAGGCTGAGCCCTAATCCCCCCTCAGTCTTCTGTAACCCTGCACCACCCATCCCGCACACCTCAGATCTGCATCTTTGGTCAGAGCCCAGGGGACAGAGGCACATGCGGGTAGCAACTAAGTGCCCACTGGCCTGTTAAGCCACCACTACTGCCAAAGCTTCCTGCCACTTGTAAACCAGAATTAAACCACAAGTCACCCTAAAAATGAAAAAAAAAATGGGTCAACAGCATCACCTGAGGGAGTCTGGCCACTGGTCCTCTGAAATGCTGCTTAGCAGTTTCTGAAATGATCTAAAGAGTTCCACTTTGCTGATTCGGGATCTGTTTGGAAAGAGAAGACAAAGATTTATCATGAGTGTTTGATATGTACCAGACCCCTGTCACAGACACCGGGATTCACGTGGTATCTTTTTTAAGTCTGAATGTGTAGGAACCCGCCTCCCATTTGTACCTGTTCTTTACATGAAGAAAATGTAGACCAGATTGGGGTGAGGTTAAAAAAACCTCATCTTCAGAAATGTCATCAGTAGTGAAATCATGAAGGTGACAGGCTCAAATGGGGTGATGACAGAGGTGAGATTACTAAATCTCACAGGACACAGGTCTCAGGACACCTGCCAGCCATGCTGGGCTACCTCCTCCTAAGGGAGCTGGCCTCGTGGGTGATGCCGCTCACAATGACACTGTGGTCACACAGACTCTAGGTTATCAAGTCCCCTTGGACAAGCACCCGAGACAGAGCCTCCAGACTCCCCCAGGGGCACTGTGGGCCTTCCTTTGCTTCTGACATGAAGCTTTGTGCAGGCCACAGCTCGGAACCATGAAGGAAGCGAGTGCGGATTCCTCACTGGCCCACCTGGGCCTTCCTGATTCGGCGCATCCGTGCTGCTGTGATCTGGACCATGTGTGCCTCTTCCTTTCCTTCCTGTACACAGTTCACAAGCTGATTCAGGGTAGGGAGATGTGTGTGCCAACAGGTGCTGTCTCATCTTTACACACCGTACCCTTCACCGTCCTCACAAACTGTCCACCTGAGCTTTCCATCAGCTCGGACCCCCGGGGGCCATAGCAGGTATATGTGTACTAGGGAAGTGTACAGTCTGTCAGAAAGTTCCTTCAGCTGGTGGGCACCTAGGCTATACTACAGCAATCACTGCTTCGTGGGGCCCTCCCGCTCTCCCTGGGCTTGAATGGGGCCTGTGTGGCTGCTGGCGCTTGGGAAAATAAGGTTCCTTTAATGTTAAAAAGAAAGTCCAAAGCCAAGAAACTAATGAAACTTAACTCACTAACAGATTAAAACAGAAATGCAATATAATTATGAGGAAAAAATATGCAGAGACGCATTTGTTAGAATTCAACATCCACAGAATGATTTAAAACCTCTTAGCAAACAAGGACTAGGAAAGATAGCATTTACGTTCATAAAGGGTGTCTATAAAGACCTATAGCAAATTCATGTCCTTAAAATCAAGAATAAAACAAGGGCATTGCTTTCACAGCTTCTGGAGACCAGATCTGTAAATGTTTCCAGCATTCTTCCCTCTGGAGGAACAAGCAGCACTTTCTCTTATGAATGTTTTTGGCCTAAGTCAATGGCCTTGTGAGAGACGCTACAGTATTATAGCTATAAAGACAGACGGGGGATGCTGGGAACCTCTCCTCTGCTGACCAAGAGCCACCTCCAGAGAAGAAAGACCTTTCTCAAGACCTAGTCAACAGGAGAACAGAGTGGCCATCCAAGTAATTCCTCTGTCAACGAGACCTACTCACTAATAACCGCTCACATCATCTATGGGGCACAACGATTCTCCTGAGGGCTGCGAGCTACAGCTTTCCAAGGAGCCCCAGTTCCCTGCAGCAGCAAGGATCGCGTTCTTGGATATCGGGTTCTTCCTGGTCAGTTGGTTGACACTGCTGGTTGGGGCATCAGAGAGCTCGGAAAACTGTACATACATAGACAATTTCTTTTTTTTTTTTTTTTTTTAATGGTTTTTTAAAATTTATTTCTAGGAGAGAGAGAGACAGCGTGAGCAGGGGAGGGTCAGAGGGAGACGGAGTCACAGACTCTGAAACAGGCTCCAGGCTCTGAGCTGGCAGTCAGCACAGAGCCCGACGCGGGGCTCGAACCCACGATCCGCGAGATCATGACCTAAGCGAAAGTCGGATGCTTAACCGACTAAGCCACCCAGATGCCCCAACCCAGTCCTATCTTTTAACATACTTAGGCACACAGGTTTTTTTTTTTTTTTTTAATCCCTCCCCCTTTTCTTTTTATAATTTAGTGAGCCATGTAATGATCTCTCCAGGATGCTCTGGGTTGGGGGTGAGGGGATGAGGATTTGCCACTTCAGGGAAAAGAGCGAAATAAAGCTTCTTAAGAATGAGGGTCTTTTACCTGGTGTCTGTTATCATCGTGTTGTTTGTAAAAGAACACGATGACTTAGGTGAAGTGTTTTCTTCTCGTCTTGTGTTAGTATATGAAATGTCTCTAACATCCCAGTCTGCGTTCATATGTCCCGCAGTTGTAAAGAAGGTGGTCTTAAGATGCCAGGGTGTGGGAATGAGCAGTGGGAAAACCTGCTCTCTCTCCAGCAGCTGTAAGTTGTTAGAATAAAAGAAATCCTGACTCTTCTGCACATAACATGAAGCTTCACTGGGCAACTGAAGGGGAAACCAATCTTAACAAGGAGTTTGCTGCGAGCTTGCACACATATGCTTTTTAAAAATTTTTTCTTAATGTTTACTTATTTCTGAGCGACAGAGCACGAGCAAGGGAGGGGCAGAGAGAGAGGGAGACACAGAACCTGAAGCAGGCTCCAGGCTCTGAGCTGTCAGCACAGAGCCCAGTGCAGGGCTTGAACCCACGAACTGTGAGATCATGACCTGAGCTGAAGTCGGACGCTTAAACCACTGAGCTAGCTAAGCGCCCCACATTTGCTTTCACATCTCACCATGTTCCTGGGTGATACATACTCCTAGTTACCCTTGCTTTGCTGTTGGGGAAACAGAGGCTCAGAGAAGTAAAATAATTCGCCCAAGATGTCACACACTGGGGAGAAAGGGAACGAGGAATTAAACATCAGTCTCTTGGACTGCAAAGCTTCTGCTCTTTCCCCCATACACTTCCTCCCTGCATGGAGTCTGCCTCCTAAATGGAGAGACATCTACAACACGGCAGGGACCTCAGATCATCTATTCCAATATCCCCATCTTACAGATATGGACACACGGAAGCCTGGAATGCAACCGGACATGTTCAAAGTCATGCGGGTAACTGGAGCCAAAGCGAGCTTGGGAATGCGAGGTACTCTCCATCAACAGAGAGCACTGACATATTGGGATAAGCTGGAGAATCAGCACTACAGGAATTTGAAGAGAGGATGGGAATTGTGAGTCAGAAGGCAGTGGTGGCTAAGCTGAGCCTTCAAGCTAAAAGAGGGTGTGGATTCCTAGGAAAGAAGAGCATTCAGACCTGAGCAGAGCACAAACAGGAGCCACAGTCAGGTGGGTGGGGCCAGGACAAGCTGCTGCTGACCTGTCACTACGGCAGAGCAGAGCCAGAACTGCAGGAAATGTGGTCCCTGTGAAGGCAGGACGTGCTCTGCTCACACACCCTGGTCTGTGGCTAAGGGCTGGTCCCCTGAGAGATGTAAACAGCGGCCTGAAGCTAGGAGGCCCCCAGGGAAAAACTGGCCCCAAAATCTCCACCCTGAACAAGTTTATTAATTTCACTCCATTCAACAGCCTGGGCTATCAGGACAGGGTCTGGGTCTGCAGACTGGGCCATCCGGACCCTGCTGAGTGGCTGCAAAGAACAAAACTTTCTTTTTTAAAGTCTAAAACTATGTAAGTTGTTATTGTTGTCTGTGTTGAGGCTGGCAAATTAAGCATATTAAAAAGAACAAACAAATCCACCTGTGAACTTTAATTACAATTTTTTTTTAAGGGAATAGTAAAGAAACGGAAAAGCAACTCAAGAGTGAAAAGTACAACAGTTGATCCTTGATTAACATGGGTTTGGACTGTGCGGGGTCCATGGACACAAGGATTTTTTTCAATAAATACAGTATTGTAAATGTCTTTTCCTTATGATTTCCTTAATAACTTTTTTTTTCTGGTTTGCTTTACGGTAAGAATCCAGTATATAATACCTACAACATATGAAATACATGCTATTCAACTGTTTGTGTTATCAGTAAGTCTTCTAGTCAACAGCAAGATATTAGTGGTTAAGTTTTTGAGAAATCAAAGTTATACATGGAATTTTCAATGGTAAGGGGGGGGTCAGAACCCACAAACTCCCCATTGTTCAAGGGTTAACTATACCGTAAATGGTGGAAATCCTACCAGAGTCACTCAGTGGCAGCTCAGTCCATCTAAGATGTAAATGCCTTTGGTGGAGAGGCTGTTTCCCTGGACCCCATCCCACGCACAGGCTATTGAAGACTACAGTGGCTCACTGGGAGGGAAAAGGAGAGTGGGATCTGCTGAGCATTTAGAAGAAGAAAAACCAGTAAGGCGGATGCATGAACCTTCAAACACACATGGAGTCTCAGGTCTAGCAGACTACATGTTCTACGTTTCAGTAGAAGCCAATATGAAGACACAAAGTCCTGCTTTCATGGTTCCCTTTCTGCCAGTCCAATCACTGTGGAGCTTCAGAAATGATTCTTGGCTTCCAAGCTTGACCTATGAAACCAGAATGCCTAGTGGTAAAGTCCAAGAATGTGTTGTTTTCAAAATCTTCCAGTGGAAAGAACAGTGTTTAAAAAAAAAAAAAAAGGTGGCAGGACAACTGGATATCCCCATTCAAAAGAGTGAGGGTGGACCCCTACCTCACACCTTACAGAAAAATTAACTCAACAGGGATCAAAGTCATCAACCTAATAGCTAAAGCTATAAACTGTGAGAAGAAAACAAAGCTAATCTTTGTGACGTTGAATCAGGCAGTGGTTTCTTACCCAAGACACTAAAAGCACAAACCATCCACGATACAAAGAGATAAAATTTGACTTCATCAGAATTTAAAGGACAATTTCAAAAAGTGAAAAGACAAGCCACAGAATTGAAGAAAAATATGTTAAAATACATCTGTGATAAAGGACAAGTATCCAGAATATATCAAGAAATCTTGCAACTCAATAATAAAAAGATAAATAAAACCAAGTTAAAAAATGGGCAAAGGATCAGAATAGATATTTCTCCAAAGAAGATATACAAAGGACAAATAAGTACACGATAAGATGCTCAACAGCAAAAGCAGCTCAAACAATTAGGGAAATGCACAGCAGAACCACAACGAGATAGCACTTCACACCCACAATGACTACAATTGGAGGCAGAGCCTCCAATTCTGCTGCTGTCTCCAGTTCCTGGCAGCTGCGTGTAGGGGGGCCCATAGGTGGGGACCGAAGTGGGACCAGGCATGAGCTATCTGAGTGCAACCTTGGATCTGACAGCCCAGAGAAGGGCTGGAGTAGGAAGGATGGGGCCATGGGTTGAGACCAAAAGTGGACCTTGTGTGAACCCTTAACCCCAGCCTGCTCACCTTGGAGAAGCCCCCAAAACCCCAGGCTATATCAAACTGCGCAAGATGCGGGCAGCCCAGAACATCTCCAAGACGACCGCCAAATCACAGCACCGTATCTATCTCACTGCTGACAACCTTGTCCCGAACCTACAGGATGTAAGGTTTACCCAGGCCAGTGACAGCCTCATCAAGGGTAGGAAATGTGCCTGGTGACCAGGAACCCCACCACCAGAGAAGTGGATCTGTCTCTCTCCTGGTTTTTGAGGAGCCATCTCGGGGTCCATTCCCCATCCTCCTCCCCAGTATCATACGATGGTCCCTTCTGCATCTGGCCTCCCAGCCCTTCTTGGATGAACAAATCCTGACCAATTTTGGGGGGAATGGTTTTGCTCCTCCCTGTGCTGGCTAGAGGCGTGGGAACAGTGTGATTTCTGAGTGATTTCCTACGGTGTTTGTTCCTCCCTCCAGGTCGGGAGGCTATAACTACTATCCCAGGAATTCTCAGTAAATTTTTATTTCTTAAGCTGGAAAAAAAAAGACAATAACGAGTGTTGTAAAGAGATGTAGAATAATTGAAACCCATACATTGCTGGTAGGAGTTTAAAATAGTGCAGCTACTGTGGGAAACAGTTTAGCAGTTCCTCAAAAAAGCAAAAGCCAAAAAAACCCCCAAAACTCCCAAGGTTATCCTATGACCTAGAAATTCTATTCCACCGTATACCCAAGAGAACTGAAAACATATGTCCTTCTCAAAGGTTCTATAAATGTTTGCAGCAGCATTATTCCCATAGCCCCAAAGTGAAATGACCCAAATGTCTATTGATGGAAGAATGGAGAAACAAAAAGTGGTCAGATCCAGACAATGGAATGTAGGAATGAAGGATGGATACACGTTATAACATGGATGAGCCTTGAAAACTTAGGCTAAGTAAAATAAGTCATATACTGTATGATTTCATGTAGTGAAATGTCCAGAACAGACAAATCCACATAGACATAAAGGAGATTCATGGGGTTGAAGAAGGGCATGGGGAATGACAGCCAGTGGGTGCAGGGTTTCTTTCTGGAGTGAATGAAACGTTCTGGAATTAGGTAGTGCTAACACTATCTAATGACTGCACAGCCACCATCTCCTTCTGCCCCAATATGCTGTACCTGGCCTGAAGGCACCTGATTCCTTTCTTTGTTGTTCCCTGTGGAAAGCCATTGGCAGTGACATCCAGTGGCTGCTCAGGAACTGCACTCCAGCTGATGGCTGTGAAAAGACAAGATTTTGAAGTTAAGACAGTTTAGTTTCCTGCGAACATCAGAGGGGTTTAACAAAAATATTTCCCTGCCTCTGCAGATTCATGAGAGTTGGATAGGACATCGGTCAATGGTTGCCACTCTGATGGATGGCCTCCAGAATATGGTATATAAAGTGGCTTGTGTTTCATCATCATCATCATCATCATCATTATAAAATCTAATAACCATTAAGCATTCATCATATACTGGACACACAGTAAATGCTTGAAATAGTATTTCTCATTTAATCTTGATAAAGCCCAATAAGGAAGGATAGATTTTTCCTTCACTCTTTAATCCCCATCACCTACTTTCCCCATCCTCCCTCAAGCCTCCCCTCTGGTAACCATCAGTTAACTCTATAGTTAAGAGTCATTTGTGGCTTGTGTCTATCTTTTTTCCCTTTATCGTTTGTTTCTTAATTCCACATGAATGAGATCATATGGTATCTGTCTTTCTCTGACTTATTTCACTTAGCATAATATTCTCTAGCTCCATCCATGCTGTTGAAAATGGCGAGATGTCATTTTCTTTTATGACTGAATAGTATTTCATTGTATATATACACCACCTCTTCTTTATCCATGCACCTGCCAGTGCATAATTTGGCTATTGTAGATAATGCTGCAATAAACACAGGAGTGCATGCAACCCTCTGAATTAGTGTTTTTGTACTTCTAGGTAAATACCCAGTAGTGTGATCAGTGGATCATGGGGTAGGTTTTATTTTAAATTTTTTTAGATTTTTTTTTAATGTTTATTTATTTTTGAGAGAGAGAGAGGAGGCAAAAAGGGAGATAGAGGATCCAAAGTGGGCTCTGCACTGACAGCAGAGAGCCTGATGTGGCGCTCAAACTCACAAACCATGAGATCACGACCTGAGCTGAAGTCAGATGCTTAACCGAATGAGCCACCCAGATGTCCCTATTCTTAAGTTTTTTGAGGAACTTCCATACTGTTTTTCATAATGGCCACACCAGTCTGCATTCCCACTAACAACAAGGTGGTTCCTTTTTCTCTACATCCTCGCCAACACCTGTTTCTTGTATTGTTGATTTTAGCCATTCTGACAGGTCTGAGGTGATAGCTCACTGTAGTTTTGATTTGCATTTCCCTAATGATGAATGACGTTGAGAATCTTTTCAGGTGTCTGTTGGCCATCTGGATGCCTTCTTTAGAAACATGTCTATTCATGTCTTCTATGCATTTTTAATTGGATTCCTTGTTTAAGAAATGATATTCTTGGGGCACCTGGGTGGCTCAGTCAGTTAAGTGTTGGACTTTGGTTCAGGTCATGATCTCACGGTTCGTGGGTTCGAGCCCCACGTTGGGCTCTGTGCTGACAGCTCAGAGCCTGGAGCCTGTTTCAGATCTGTGTCTCCCTCTCTCTCTGACCCTCCCCTGCTCACGCTGTCTCTCTCTCTCTCTCTCAGAGATAAATAAAACATTAAAAAATTAAAAAAAAAAAAAAAGAAATGATATTCTTATCTGAACACGCAGAACTTGGGGCTAAGACAGGACATAAGTTGCCCAGGGTCAAGGACAGCATGAAGCTGGCTCCCAAGCCCACACTATTGACCACTCAGGTAATAAACTGCCTGCCCAGGCTGGGTGGACATAGGCCCTCCCAGGCCAGCCCGTGGTCTGGGGAAAAGTCACTCCAGAGCAAGGGGAACGAGGACACCTTACCTGCGCCACAAGGGACAAGCCGGCCTGGGCTGTCAGCCCTTTTTGCCTGCACTGCGCTGCGGCTCTGTTCAAACAGTAAACCCGACTGCTGTATTGTCACTTCTTGCACTCCAAAGCCTTCAGGTAAAGCTGAGACGTTCTGACACCTGAATGTGAGGGAAAATGCATTCGGTTTAGGCCTTCTATTCGAAGAAGAGAGTATGAAGGACCGTGGACCACATCACCCCTGAGTCTTGGTGAGAGGGTGTAACAGAACAGAATCTAGATCATATGAACCTCATGGCTGGAGGAAGATCTCTTACCATCACTTTGAAGTGAAAACGGTGAACTGAGTCACCACTCCTTAGTGACTTTAGGGACTCTGAACTCTACTCCTGGTACCGGCTTTGAAGATTTGAAAAGCTTAAACAGAAATATTAACTTGTGGCATCTGCTTCCTAGGGAATCCTTCAAACACACCAGAAACCAAAACTATCCTATAATATAAAAGCTTCATTTTTACTTCTTGTATCTTTCACACAATCTACATGCCAACATGATGCTGCTTTGGAACTGAGCAGAGAGCAACTTTAAGGTCTCAGAATAGGGAAAGCATGGGAAACTCAGAAAATATCTTGCACACAGCGCCCAGAGTTGCCTTTTTTAAAGTTTATATATTTCTTTTGAGAGAGAGAGGGTGTGCATGCATGTGAGCATGAGTGGGGGAGGGGCAGAGAGAGAGGGAGGGAAAGAATCCCAAGCAGACTCCATGCTGTCAGTGCAGAGCCCGACGTGGGCCTTCAACTCATGAACTGTGAGATCATGACCTGAGCAGAAATCAAGAGTCTGATGCCTAAGTGACTGGGCCACTCAGCTGCTTCGGGTTTTCTCCCTCTGCCCTTCTTCCTGGCTTGAGCATGTTCTTTCTGTAAACTAAAATTAAATTTTAAAAAATCTTATTGGGGTATAATTTACATACCATAAAATTCATCCATTTACAGTATAAAATTTGGGGTGAGGGGCGCTTAGGTGGCTCAGTTGGTTGAGCGTCTGACTTCAGCTCAGGTCATGATCTCACGGCTCATGGGTTGGAGCCCTGCATTGGGCTCCGTGCTGACAGCTCAGAGCCTGGAGCCTGCTTCGGATTCTGTGTCTCCTTGTCTTTCTGCCCGTCCCCTGCTCATACTCTGTGTGTCTCTCTCTCAAAAATAAACATTAGAAAAATAAAGTGTAAAATTCAACATTTTTTTAAAGGATATTCACAGAATTGTGCCAATGTCACCACAGCCTAAGTTTACAACATTTCACCCCTTCAGTAAGAAACCCTGCACCTGTTGGCAATCACTCCACATCCCCTTCTCCAACCCCTGGCACCCACGAATCTACTTCTAGATTTACCCGTTTAGGACATTTCATTACATAAAATCATACACTCTGTGGCTCCTCTTAGCATGAAGTTTTCAAGCTCACCTGTGTTGCAGCTTGTATCTGGCCTTCACTTCTCTTTGGGGCTAATATTCCACCATAACTGTCTACCCCCTTTTGTTTATCTGGCTGACATACATTTGGGCTGTTTCACGCTTTGGCTACTGTGACCTACCTTGCTATGAACATTCATGTACAAGTTCTTATGTGGATGCATGTTTTCATTTCTCCTGGGTACGTACCTAGGAGTGGAATTAGTGGGTCACACCCTGCGGCTGCACCTTGGGCTCAGCCTCGGGGGGGCAGTACATCTGACACGACCGGCCTCCCCTCCAGCCATGGCCTCACCCTGCCCTCAGTTACCATAGCCATAATTAGGTCTGGCTGCCCTTCTTTAGGGAGGCTACACTTCAGTGATCATCCTGTGTCTTTAATCTTTTAAAAAATTAACACTGATGTTGACGGTTTTGAAAAATTATAATAGCAATATATATATGTACTGTAGAGAAATTAGAAAATAGAGTAATTGCAAAGAAGAAAAAAACACCCATAATATCACAACTCAGAGGTAATCATTCTAACAATTTGGTATATATTCGTCCACAATTTTTTTGTATGTGTATATATACTTTAAGACCAGGGATGCCTGGGTGGCTGAGTCGGTTAAGTGTCCGACTCTTGATTTTGGCTCAGGTTGTGATCTCACATCACAGTTTGTGGGTTTGAGCCCTGAGAAGAGCTCTGTGCTGACAGCATGAAGCCTGCTTGGGATTCTCTCTCTCTCTCTCTCTCTCTCTGCCCCTTCCCTGCTCATGTGTGCTCTCTCTTTCAAAATAAATAAACAAACTTCAGTAACCGTGAGATCATGACTTGAGGTAAAATCAAGGGTGGGACACCTAACTGCCTGAGCCACCCGGGGGCCCCAGTACGGATATCTTGGAGGCTCAACTGCCTGAGCCACCCAGGCACCCCCATACGGATGCCTTGAAGGCTCTCTGGACAGACATACTCCCAGACTGCTTCTCAGAAAGACTGTTCCACTTGAGCCCTCCCTGCCTGCCCGCTCACCTCCCAGTCAGAGCTCTCCGCATGGCTTCCTGGCTGTACGGGCACCTCCCAATGACCACAGCTGACAGGTAGACGGGCTCTTCTAGAAGGTGCATCAACAGTGCCCCCTGGCAACCGAGGACATTCCACCGTGCCAACTTGTCACTGCAGGACATGGAGCAGGTCCTGTCTCCCCGGCCGGGCTTCACCCGCAGCAACCCCACCTGGTGATATGCTGCACCAGGCTTCCCCGAGTCTCCAGCTTCTCCCGGCACACATTTGGCTCCAGTTCTATAAATGTCCACCACTTTGGCACCACTGGGGGCCATTCCGGTGACAGTGGCCAGTTCCTGTGTGGTGAGATTAGAGCTGCTGACAGTTGGTGGGTCTGGACCACTTTCCTGATTGTCTAAACTCTGACAGTGAGCCGCACCATCAGGAATCCCAAGCCTCATCCTTTTGGTCACAGGACCACCCAGGTCTTCACATTTCTTTTCATTTTCAGAAGTTTCCAGGTTACTATTGGCTTCTTCTGATGGCTTCTGGGCCCAACGTCTACTGACGGGACAGCAGGGCTGATCTTCAAACTCAAGCATTGGAATGATGGAGGCATCCCCACCTGCAGGAGAAGGAACCCCTTAAAACCAGTGGTTCTCAAAGTAAAGCCCCCAGGTCAGCCACATCAGCATCCTTTAGGAACTTGTGAGAACTGCAAATTCTTGGGACCCACAGTGGACCTGCTGAATTGGAAACTCTGGAGGCGGCACCCAGCGATGTGTGTTTTAACAAGCTCTCTAGGTCATTCTGATGCAGGCTCAAGTTTAAGAACCACTGTCTTTTTCATTATTATTTTTTATTTTTTTGAAGAGAGAGAATAGGGGGTGCCTGGGTGGCTCAGTTGGTTAAGTGTCCGACTTCAGCCCAGGTCATGATCTCACAGTTCCTGAGTTCGAGCCCCGCATCAGGCTCTGTGCTGACAGCTCAGAGCCTAGACCCTGACTGTAATTCTGTGTCTCCCTCTGTCTCTGCCCCTCCCCTACTTGCACTCTATCTCTCTCTCAGAAATAAACAAACATTAAAAAATAAATAAATAAATAAAGAGAGAGAAAAGGGGATATGGGCAGAGGGAGACAGAGAGAGAATCTTAAGCAGGCTCCACACTCAGCACAGAGCCCAACGAGGGCTTCTATTCCAGGACCCTGGAATCATGACATGAGCTGAAGTCAAGAGTTGGAAGCTTAACCGACTGAGCCACCCAGAAGCCCCACCAAGAACCACTGTCTTAAATGGAGTTTAATTCTATCTTCCAGCTGACCTGAGATCAATTAGGAAGACTTGCCCAAACTTCCTGAGTAAGAATCCTTTGCGGCTCTATCCTACTGAGACCCAGTGAGTTAGAAACGCCAGGGTGGGGGGGGATCTGGAAAACTGAAAATGTTAAGAACCTTGGTTTACAATAAGCACAGTTTCCCGAGTATATTCTGTGGGATGTTATCCCGTAAGTTGGAAAACCAAAGTGGGAGGTTGATTTCATGCTTAAATATGTTTGGCAAAGGGGTACCTGGGTGGCTCAGTCAGTTGGGCGTCGGACTTCGGCTCAGGTCATGATCTCACGTTCGTGGGTTCAAGTCCTGCGTCAGGCTCTGTGCTGACAGCTCAGGGCCTGGAGCCTGCTTCAGACTCCATATCTCCCTGTCTCTCTGACCCTCCCCCTCTCATGCTCTCTCTCTGTCTCAAAAATAAATAAGACATTAAAAATTAAAAAAAATACGTTTGGCAAAAATGTTCACAATTTCCCCACCTTGGAGATTTATGGGCATGTCCTCACAGTAAAGACTGCGGTGAATTATACAGCTGGCGTTTCCCTGTGCTAAGTTACAGATTTCTGACCTAACTCTGTGCTTAAACAGAATCAAAGAAAACCAGAGGTTAGTTAAAAGCACAGCTTCCCCATGAGAAAGGAGCTCCTTCTTCAAACACTAACCTAAAGCATGTTGTTCTTCTAATGCATGTAAATAATACATTTGTAGTCTTTAGACCTAAGAGTGGAAAAGGCAAGAGAGGTAGATGTGGGCGTGTTGCCAGAAAGACTGGCTGGCAGGCTTCCAGAGGCCTCACAAGGTGACAGTGACTTTGGAGAATGAACTGGGGCCCACCTCCCACTCAGAAAGCTCGGAGATTTGATATGCACGGATGCCTAAACTCGAGAGGCTGACTCATGCTAATCAAACTCACAAGTAAGGGCCGGAAGTAGCTAACCCAGGCACCAAATTATCAACCAGCAGTGAGGAATAAAAGCCAAGGGAGCCGGACAGTCACATTCTCCAGGTAGTGTACTTTTCCTCTTGCAGACAAACCATGCACGGGTGGACATCACATTTGAAAAGATTACCCATGAGCCCAGGGCAGTTAGACCCATGGTTCTAGATTTTGATTTCATAGGCCAGTAAAATTTCCAACAGACTTTAAGATCAACAGATTACTTTGTATTCCATTAATTAAGATCTTTCAAAATCCTAATTACCACTATTAAAAATAAAATAAAAATCTCATAACCTTCACATAGAAAGAAATTAGCTTCCTGAAAAACTCATTATATAGTCCTGATGTTTCCCATCTGGCTACAGGGCAGCGTGTGGTTTATGTGGTTTGATTAGGCGGTCAGGCTAGCTGTGATCTGCAGAGGCTTCTCTCTCCATGATAAGGCTATGCCTGCCACTGGAGCAGCCAAGCCCTGGCTACTCAAAGTGTGGTCCACAGGCCAACACCACTGGCGTTGTGGGGATTTGGTTAGAAATGCAGACCCTCAGGCTTCATTCCAGAACTAACGAATTTCAATCCATGTTTTATTAAGATCCATGATTGGGGCACCTGGGTGGCTCACTTGGTTAAGCATCCGACTTTAGCTCAGGTCATGATCTTGCAGTTTGTGGGTTTCAGCCCCGCATTGGGCTCTGTGCTGACAGCTCAGAGCCTGGAGCCTGTATAAGACTCTGTGTTTCCCTCCCTCTCTGTCCCTCCCCTGCTCACGCTCTGTCTCTCCAAAATAAATAAACATTAAAAAAATTTTTTTAAATTAATATCCATGGGTGATTCATATGCATATTATTGTTTGAGAAGCACTGAGTTAGGAAACATCCTTTGGTTGGACCAGGGCATCCACAGCTAACAAGAAAGCATGGGTGAGGCCTGCCTACCTCACTCTGCATGTCATTTTTCTGGCCTTTGACTCAACTAATTCTTTTCTGATAGACTCATTCTTTCTTAAACTATATTACATTTTTGATTTGAATTGCTGTCTACAGAGGGTAGAAATTATTCTCAGTTTTCTAGACAAAAAAAGAGTGGCCACCCCCAGGTCATGTCTGGTTTTCCTAATAAAACCATAGCACCGGAACATCTCCTTATAACTCATCAAAATTTAACTTAACTAATCATGACTGTCTACATTCCCTAAAAGACTCTTTGAGGCTAAGCCAGGGGCCAGTCTTACTCACTGCTATATACCCAGTGTGTCATACTGTATGTCACAAGTAGTAGAAAACATCTGTTGAATGAATGAATGAATGAATAGAATGAGTTTCAGCATAAATCTCTATAGAACTCAAGGCTTTGGATTTCTAAGCCCTATTGCTGGTTTCAGACCTTGTGTGTTTTAGGCTTCACAATCCTGATTGGGAACTGAGAACTGAAATGCCTTTCCTTGGTAGAGAAGGGATTAGGCACAATGGCCTGTTCAGAAAAAGGCACTGTCCACTGGTTGTAGCTACACTTCAGCCAGAAGAGCTATTTTTTGAAATGTATGAATAAGACATGAATAAGACAAACATCAAGAAATATACAATATAACATTCATTCAAAGCCTTGAAGATACTTACAGGGTGTATGGCTGGAGAAAAACACAAACAAGAGGCCTGGTCTGAGTTTCCACAGCCCTCTCTGAGTTCCAGGGACAAAAATGCTATCCTCCTTCAGGGAGGCCGCCAAGTGGAGCTGATGGAGAAGGTACCTAACAGGGTGCAAGATGTTATCAGAATGAACAACCAATCACTGAGGTAAAGGGAAAGACTGGCTGGGTGATTTTCTAAGAAAGAAAGAGCTACTGCAGACCAATGGGACTGGCACTGGAATCTGGAATTACGAGAATGGTCTAGACCAGTGAGTCTCAAAATGTGGCCCTTGTACCAGCAGATCAGCATCGTCTGGAATTTGTTAGAAATCCAATCTGGACCTGCTGAATCAGAATCTCTAGGGGTGGGCCCGGTGATCTGGGTTTTCACAAACCTAGGTAATTCTGATGCACTTTGGGCATGAGAACCACTGCGTAGACCAGTACTATTCAAGGTGTAGTTCACAGACTGACAAGGTCAGTATTACTTGAGAGCTTATTAGAAATGCAAGTTCTGGGACCCCCCCCCCCACCGATGGCAGGCTGAATCGGATTGTCTGGGAAGGTGGCTTTACCTTTGGAAACTCCTCCTGGCTATGACCTCAGCATGGCTATCATTGAGGATGTCTCCTGTGACAAAGACAGGACACTAGTGAAGACATTTAGAGCCTGGCCCTGCCTCCTAGAAGCAGAACACAGCGATGTCCCCCAGCGGCCAGGATGGCCACAGAGCCCCTCAAGGACTCTGTCAAAGAGCACTGCAACGATGGCAGTGCAGGGTTTTCTCAACTCAGCACTACTGTACATTTTAGGTTAAAAAGTTCTTTGCTGTGGCGGTCTGTTCTGTGGAAATGTAGGATGCTTAGTAGCATTCCTGGCCTCTACCAGAGGCAGGTAGCACAGCATCCCCCTCCCCTAGTTTTGACAACTGAAAAGATCTCCAGCCATTGCCAAATGTCCTCTGGGGGCAAAATCTCCCCAGAGCCAGGAACTACTGATTTATAGGAAGACTGGAGGCCAAGTCTTTTGTACTCTGGTATCGCACTTGTTCTTGTGGTGATATGATTTCATCAGATTCAATCCATGTTGGTCCCGGAACACAGGAGGCAAGGCTAGGAAAATGGGGAAAGCAATCTTGAGAGGGAATCTGTTAACTGGAAGCAGAGGTGGAGATGCCAGATCTCTAAGGGATTTCCATAATCTTGTTGGTGCCCAAATCTCCATTTGATTGCTTGTGGAGGCTTCAGATATAATGTGGAGCTGCTAAGTCTGGGGAACTTTTGGTCTGAGCATGAACATACTGGCCAAATTTCAATCTACTCAGAAAGCAACGTTCCTGGAGGCCTTTGCTTTCACAGTTTATTTCATGCTTCAAATGAATTCTATGGGGCACCTGGGTGGCTCAGCCAGTTAAGCCGCTGATTCTTGATTTTGACTTAGGTCATGATCTCACGGTTCATGAGATCGAGCCCTGCATAGGGCTCCGTGCTGACAGTGGGGAGCCTGCTTGGGATTCTCTCTCTCTCCCTCTGCTCCTCTCCAACTCAGGCATACATTCTCTCTTTCTCTCTCTCAAAATAAATAAACTTAAAAACAAATGAGTTCTGTTCTTCCATCTGGAGTGATAGTCAGTGGGAACATAAAGGTCGGCCACCACAGCAGTATGGCCCCTTTGCGGAGAAGAGGAGAAGACAACATAGACGGGGGTTTCCAGACCCCACTCGGGCTTACCGCTCTTCCTCATTTTGGACTGGCCTATGCATTTCGTTCCTGTTCCCATCGAGACAACTTCCTTTGTCACTGAGGGGAAAAGAACGAATCATGAAGTGAGCTCTCATGATGTGAACGGTCCCCCATGCTCAGGTTTCGTGTCTGCACATTCCTCCAGAGCATTCGTGCAGGCTGACCCAGCCTAGGGCTGTGGTTCCAGCACAGCCATCTCCCACCATGGGAGGGACCGTGGCACCTGGTGGAGCGCAGGGGAGCATTCGCACCACTGCAGCTGACCCAGCCAGGACTGTCCCTGCATGGCCGGGAACAATTCTGCCATCTCTGACAGGGAGAGGGGCCATTCGGAGGTGGAAAGGTCTCACCTTGTACCGGTTTGTTAGCGCCATCACAGGCTTGCTCAGCGGCAGGCTGTATCTTCACCACAGCTGCTAGTAACGTCCACTCACGGCTGGGCTCGGGCTTCCCCTGCTTGGGCAGCCTGGTCCGGTAGTGCTCGTAACACAGCCGCGCAATCTCGTCTGCGGTCCACATGGTCTCGGTTAGCGCTGAGCCTGATCAAAAACCGCAACCATCAGAAGTACAGAAAGGATAACCAATACAAGGTGCTACAACTTGCCGGGGTGCTTCAACAGGCTTTCAGGGTGGCCCAGCCGCGTTCATGCTGAGGTTTCTCTATCTGCAACTTCAACGGTCACGTTCTACTACGTCCCTTTTTCATTTTTTTTTTTAAAGTTTATTTATTGAGAGAGAGGGAGACAGTGCACACCAGTGAAGGAGGGGCAGGCAGAGAAGGAGAGAGAGAACCCCAAGCAGGCTCCACACTTGAAGTGCAGAGACCAAAACGGGGCTTGAACTCAGGAACCATGAGCTCACAGCCTGAGCCAAAGTCAAGAGTTGAGCACTTAACCAACTGAGCCACCTAGGCGCCCGTTCCCTTTTCATGTTTAAGGAAAGATCAAAGAATCCCAAATCCCACCACCCCCAGAAGACACCCTATTTCTTAAAGCTGTTTTTTTTTAAATGTTGGATATCTGACATGAATCTATGAATCTGAACCTACTACTCAAAATAAAAGCACATGAGAGGGAAGCATTCTCATTACTCCAACTTTCATTTGGAAAGTAAAGTAGTTCGTTTGCACGTAAAATACTGCAGACCTTAGCTGGTGCTGGGAGCCGCACTGGCCTTGTTGGATAACACAGTCACAGAGCGGAAATGGCAGCGTTTGCACAGCTCCTGCCATGAGAAGCGAAAACCGGTATCTCCTTCTGCTACTACTGGCTCATGTTGGAAATGAGCCTGCTGGTATTGACCAGGCCTCACAATATTCCAGATCAGACCGATATTCCCCACACAGATACCTCATGAGAAAAGGCATATTCCTGCCCCTACAAAGGAGAATTTTAGATAAAAGTACTGTAGATATTTGTCAAAAGGCTCTTCCTATGGGCCTTGCAGATCCAAGACATACGTAATAAAGGGGGTTAAGAACACAAGAGTTACAATTAAATCTGGCCCGGAGACAAAGAATCTAATTTAGAGATAAAGAACAGATAAGGGCAGAACATAAGTTAATACATATGCCTTTGCTAATTGGTGATGTCCCTTCCCTAGGGCCTACATTCTACAAATACCTTCCCTTACACTGGCATCTATTATAAGAATGGGTAAGAGTAGTTAAAACATAAACCCAAATACTAAGGCTGACACATTTAGGGCCCCCATGGTGTTTACACATTCAGCATCAAGTAAAAAAGTTTGCACAGGCAACCTATTAACCAGCTCAAACACATTCTTCCTCTTGTGAGCCAGACAGAATGGCTCCTAGCCTATCTATATGCAACTTAACTTATGATTTCAACTTAGTGTACTGACTTAAACAAATGTGTATGTTATCCTGTTTTTCCCTGTTATTTTCTTAGTTGGAAGATTTACTCAACCTCATTATGATTGGGGTAGTTCTGCAAGAATCCTTCTGTGAAATCTGTTTCTGTACACTTTCCAAAGCATCTTATCACAGAGAATTATCCATCGTAAAAATTCCATTTTCTGATGTCATGTTATCACTTGACCTATAAATAAAGACACCAAAACCGACAGGACAGAGATGCCTGCCTGGTGATTAGAAAAAATCTTGGGGCTCTCTCATCACTCTTTCGCCGACACCGTCCATCCTTCAGGGACCCCTGGACTGGCTAGAGCTGGAATCCGGCAAGCTGGCAGAGGTTTATCTTTCTGGGCAGATGTTCTTTTCCACCCTCTTTCTCAGACATTTTATTTTTCTTTTCTCTGCCTTCTCCCCACCTCCCAGCAGAATGACTCTTCCTCCCTCTAGTAAATCTCCAATGATGCCCCCATCAAGAAAACAACTCTTTAATTTCTTCTATAATGTTTTATGAGGCAGAAGGGAGAAGTGACAAAGCCCAGAGCTTTCTAACCAGTCAAGTATTCTCCTTGTAGGAGTATGTGCTAGAGTGTGGACTTTGGAGTTACCCTTCTTGGGTTCTAATCCTAGCTTTGCTACCAGTTGTGTGATATTAGGTAGAGGACTTAATCTGTTTATCTGTTAAAACAGAGATAACAGTAGAATTTAATCTATGGGCTATTTTGAGGATTAATTTTTATAAAAACCAATTGCTGGGGTGCCTGGGTGGCTCAGTCCATTGGCTTCCAACTTCAGCTCAGGTCATGATCTCACAGTTTGTGAGTTCAAGCCCCATGTTGGGCTCTGCAGATGGCTCAGAGCCTGGAGCCTGCTTTAGATTCTGTGTCCCCCTCTCACTCTGCCCCTCCCCCACTCATTCTCTCTCTCTCTCTCTCTCTCTCAATAATAAACATTAAAAAATTTTAAAAAATCAATTGCTACAATATTTCTTTTTTCGTTTGTTTGTTTACTTTTGAGAGAGAGAGACAGAGCATGAGTGGGGAGGGGCAGAGAAAGGGAGACACAATCCAAAGCAGGCTCCAGGCTCCGAGCTGTCAGCACAGAGCCCGACGCGGGGCTTGAACCCACAAACTGTGAGGTCCTGACCTGAGCTGAAGTCGGATGCTTAACCAACTGAGCCACCTAGGTGCCCCTCAATTGCTACAATATTAAGCATAATTAATGTCAACTGTGATTAATATTCCAAAAAGGAACATTTCATGTTGCTAAATGATTTGTCCTAAGCTCCTTGGGGTGCACTGCTGTAACAACAATGTAAAGCCATGAATAAAAAAAAAAAATCATTAAGCTGATTAGATTTGAGAGGCTACTTTGGACTTAAATGTATGAAAAGCTTCTTAGCAGAAAATGAGATCATATGGTGACGGATATAGCTAACCATGAAAAAAAGGGTTTGAGTCCCAATGCATGCAACTTCTGAAAATTATGAGTTCCCTGCATTGGGTCAAATTAATTAAACAAGGAGGCTATTAGATTGATGTGGCTGTGGTGGTCTATTTAAGCAAACCATGCTCTAAGTGTGTACATGCTTCTAGATTACAAAAGCAAAATGCTAAAGAAAACCAACGACTAACAGCCACCTATAAATATAGCCACCTTTAAATAGCCACCTTTAAAATATAGCCAATCCTAGTATCCAAAATCTATAAGGAACTCAGCAAACTCCACACCCGAAAAACAAATAATCCAGTGAAGAAATGGGCAGAAGACATGAACAAACACTTCTCCAAAGAGGACATCCAGATGGCCAACAGACACATGAAATGATGCTCAGCATCCCTCATCATCAGGGAAATACAAATCAAAACAACACTGAGATACCACCTCATGCCGGTCAGAGTGGCTAAAATGAACAAATCAGTAGACTAGATGCTGGCGAGGATGTGGAGAAATGAGCACCCACCTATACTGCTGGTGGGAATGTAAACTGGTGCAGGCTCTCTGGAAAACAGTGTGGAGATTCCTAAAAAAATGAACAATAGAACTCCCCTATGACCCAGCAGTAGCACTGCTAGGAATCTACCCAAGGGATCCAGGAGTGCTAATGCCTAGGGGCACATGGACCCCAATATTCATAGCAGCACTCTCCACAATAGCCAAAGCATGGAAAGAACCTAGGTGTCCATCAACTGAGAAATGGATCAAGATGTGGTTTATCTACACAATGGAATACTACACGGCAATGAGAAAGAACGCAATCTGGCCATGTGTAGCAACATGGATGGAACCAGAGGGTGTTATGCTGAGTGAAATAAGTCAGGCAGAGAAGGACAGATACCATATATTTGCACGTATAGGTGGATTAGGAGGAAGCTAATGGAGGACCATGAGGGAGAAGGGGAAAAATAGTGGGGGAAAGGGAGGGAGGCAAACCATGGGGGACTCTTGAATGCTGAGAGAACAAACAGGGCTGATTGGGTGGGGGAGAGGGGAAGGGGGGAGATGGGCATGGAGGAGGGCACTTGTTGGGATGAACACTGGGTGTTATATGGAAACCAAGTTGACAATAAACTAAGAAAAAAATACAGCCAATCAAACACTTTCCTTTCTTGCTGCACTTTATTATGTCTCTCTTCTAGTTCTGATCTGCTGAGTGCTCCTAACCATTTTTGGTTTGGTTCTAACTGGAATTGATTTTTGTTCAAAAACTCTAAAAGTTTTAATACGCTTGTTTATCTTTTAAGAGTTACAATGTGGAGGCCTGCTGCTGCTATAAAAAGTCATGGTAAATCAGACCACAGTGATTTGAAAAAACAATTTGGCAGGGACATAAATTGTGCCTTTTAAGTAAGAGAACCAGCACGTCATGTATGTTCTGAAGGAAAAGAAAAGCATGGGAGATCCCAGAATCCTCCATTTGGAAGGAACTTTTTCCCTCTCATTTCGGGGGGAAGTTGGGATGGGGGGGGATAACGGCCATCACAAGGCAATCAACCTGAAATTAAACAAGAGGCACATACCACCAACCATAATAGCCAGGGAAAGCCAGAACTTGCCAGAAGTAACATCGACTCCCTAAGATGATGCAGCCCAGAACTGTAGCATCATCTCAATCACGAGGTTGTATGAATGAACGTGCACAGCAGTTGAAATGAATAAAAGTTTTGCTAAACTTGGTCCACTAAAATTCAAATACATTCTCCTGTATCTTGAGTAACTTCATAGGAAACAATAGCTCAGTTAAACAGGCATTTCTTTGCCCACAAGATCGCACATTACAACAGTTCCAAGTAGCGTTAAGAATTCTCAAGAAAAGTTAAAGCAGGTCGGTTGCCAGGGGAGAAACGGCTTTCGCCTTCGGCTCCCCCTCCTCGGTCTGCTCTAGAACCGGGGTGGCACCCATTGTGCAAGTTACGGGAGAGGTTCTGGGCCTGAGAAGCAGAGACAATGCGCACGCCTGCCTCCTCTTGTGGTGTGGACGCTCCCGCGAGGCCACACACCCGACGCCCACCCACAGCGGACACGGGCACTTCCGGGAAACCAGCCGCTCTTTCCACGTGACGCGCGCCACGGGAAGAACGATCCTCACGACCGCTTCGGACCCAACATGGGCGGGGGAAGTCAGACCGAGGGCAGCTCACCCAGCAGGCTTGGGGCCCCTCTTCCCCCACATTTGCGCGCCCTCCACCCTGCTACCCTACCACCTCCCAAATGCTCCCCTCCCACCTCCAAGGTGAGCGCCCAGGGAGGGCGCGAGGAGAAGAGCTCGGCGTAGCGGACGTGACGTCACAAAAACCCGCTCTTCTAGACCCCACCCCTAAAGGCACGCAGTGCACACTGGCCATTGTAGTCCCGCTGGGTTGGAGCCGGAGACTGTTGAACAGAGGCTTAGGAATCCAGCCTGTTGGAGCGTAGGTACCGGTGAAATGGTCTGATGATGTGATGCAAGGAGTAGAATGATGCCGTATCATGGAACACTAGTCTGAATTTCTGTCTAAAATAGCGCTGTCCAACAGAAATATAATTTAAGCCAGATAGTGTAAAATTTTCTAATAGTTACGTTTAAAAAAGTAAAAACTAGGTGCAATTAATTGTAGGCATATATTTAGCCCAATATGTCCAAAGTATTATCATTTTAGCGTGTAATCAATATTTTAAAAAATCGAGATATTTTACAGTTTTTTTCATACCTAAGTTTAAAATATGTTAAGAAATCTGTCATTGGCTTGTTAAGAGTGCAGTTTACTTGACCCTGTCCTTCTCTCTCATTCAGAAAAGGGCCACAGGATCCCTCCAAGGCTGAGGACTCTGCTCTTCTTTCCTCCATCTCCAACATCTTTAATCTGCAACTGTCTCCCTCTTCTGTCTTTAAAGAAGCACTGATCATGCGGGGCGTGGGGGAGTGGGGATTGGGGAGAATCATCAATCTCAGGGATTAGTACCACCATCAATCTAGTTGTATAAATTGAAAAGTGAGTCACTCCCCTTGTCATTTTCCTTCCTGTAACCCCCACAATATAATTCACTGCCAGCTCCTGGTGATTTTACTTCCTGTCTCTTGAATCCATCCACTTCTGTCCACTTCCATGGCAACAGCCCAGTCTGTCTCCCTCTTGGATTGCTATGCTAACCTCTAGACTTTCACTTTTCCTTTCCCAACACTGGTTCTTTTTCAGAGAGTAGCCAGAGTGATGTTTTATTTTTTTTTTATTTAAAAATTTTTTTTTAACATTTTATTTTTGAAAGGGAGGAGGGGCAGAGAGAGAGAGAGAGGGAGTCACAGAACCCAAAGCAGGCTCCAGGTTCTAAGCTGTTGGCACAGAGCCCTATGCGAGGTCTCAAACTCACTAACTGTAAGATCATACCCTGAGCCTAAGTCAAAGTTTAACCGACTGAACCACCCAGGTGCCCCAAATTGATGTTTTAAAAACACAAATGTGTTGTTACAGCCCTGCTTTAATACTTCACTGGCTTAAAACAAAATCCCATAGTAGGGCTCAGAGATTACACTAAATGCCATCATAATAGGCCTTATACCCCTGTATGACCTGCCTCCTACTTCAGCTGGTAGCTTATTTTCACAGGCTTCTGTCCTCTATCTTGTGTCATTGGCCTTTTCTATGCTCTTTCCTACCTCAGGGCCCTTGCACTTGTTGCTACATCATGGAAAACCCTCTTTCTTTGACTAGTTAATGCTCTATCTTCTTTCTGCTCTCAGATTCTCATGTCCTCGGGGAAACCTTCCTTAACTAGGTCTGTTAGAGTTTCTCATACTCCACAAACCTCTCTCCTTCAAAGCATTTATCAGAGTTGCCATGAAGTTTGGGACCATGCCTTTCTGTTCACCCCAGTATGGCAGACAGTACATTGAGCCTTCAACTGTTTTAAGAAAGTAATGAGGACTTTATAATTACAATCCTTCTGTCCCTTCTAGCTTACATCCTGTTTGTCATTTTTCCTGTTAAATCCCACAGACAAGTTGTCTACTGCTTCAGTTCATCTCTATCTTGTCTTCTTGAGGTTAGAGACCTGGCTTCTCCCCACAACCTACTAAACAGCTCTTTAAAGGGCACTTGTGGGGGTACCTGGGTGGCTCAGTCGGTTAAACATCTGACTTCAGTTCAGGTCATGATCTCATGGTTTGTGGGTTCAAGTCCCGCGTCGGGCTCTGGGCTGATAGCTCAGAGGCTGGAGCCTGTTTTGGATTCTGTTTCTGTCTCTCTGATCCTTCCCTGCTCTCTCAAAAATAAATAAAACATTAAAAAAAAAGTCACTTGTGACCTCATTGTTCTTGTTGCTTTTTCCAATGGTAGTGTTGCCTGAAGTCTAGTACCATTGTCTTGACCCTATACTCTCTCCTTTGGGGAGTGATGGTTTTCACTTAACACCAACTTGGTGAGGGAGGTGCCATATGGAAGGGTTTCTTCTGAAATTACACCTGGTCATCTACCAGTACTGCTGAGTGCTCCTAGAGCCTGTGTTTAAACACCAAGGTTGAAGATGCTCAAAACTCTCTGAAGTAATTCCCAGGGAGGTAATTCTGCATGTTCTGATCACTGTACCAGCTACTCAAGTGAAACCTTGCTCTGTGAAGACTTAAACTGGGCTGTTTGCAGTCTTTGCTAAGAGGCAAAAGACAAGTCCTTTGTGGTAGGGCTCATTGGAAGGTTTCCCCCAGCTGCCTCATGCATCAAGGGTCAGGGACTCCATTATACCAGCATGCCCTGTGTCATTCCCGGTCCAGATAAAAGGAGCTCAAAGTAATGAGAAAACTCGACTCCCATTCACCATCGTACTTACTGTTCCCACCTGATGTCAAATCATGCCTAAAACCCAACACTACTTTTCCTCTCAAACTGCACTTCCCGTTGCTTCCATTTCAGTAAAGGACAACTCTTCTGTTGTTTAGACCCCAAACCTTGAAGTCATCTTTGACTCTTCTCCTGACCTACATCCCATCACCAAATTCTATCGACTTGAGGAATAGGCAGAGTCCAGTCACCTGTAAGCATCTCCATTAATGTCAAACCATCATTGGCCGTCCTCTCCTTCACCGTTGCCCTCTGTGCTAACCAGAATAGTATTTTGAAAGCACTCTGCTCAAAACCCTCCAATGGGATCCCACATCACTTATGTTAAAACACACTCCTTGGCATGGCTTACAGGGAACTTTCCTTACTCCTCCAACCACACCAGACCCTTTGCTGTTCCTTGAAAACGCAGTCCTCCAGTCTAGATAGTCCTTTCCCTTAGATGTGTCTCCAGTTCTCTACTTAAATGTCACCTAGAAGAGTCCTCACTGATCACATATTTAAAATAGCACTGTCCTCAACCACTTCTTTCTAGAATAGCACCTCTGTCCCCTTACCCCCTTTTCTTCTTAGTATGTAGCAGAAATATGTATTTATCTAGTTGCCCTCAACCCCTAAAAAATGATTAAATGTTCCACAAAAGCAGGGACTTGCCTTTTGTCCACCGCTGTGTCCCTAATCCCTTAGAAAAATGCCTGGTACGGAGCAGATATTAACATAAACTGGTTGAATGAATAAAGTGATATAATGCTAACCATGCACCATGCCAGCTGTCTGAGTAAAAGCTGACATTCCACGGTAAATAGTCAGGAGACAAGAGTAGAGACAAATGGTTTATTTGGGAACAATGAGTAAAAAGGAATTCTTAATTCCTTTTTTCTCTTCTGGCAGCCCAACTGAACAGTGATCGTCAAATGGACAGCAACACACAAAAATTCCCCTGCAGTCCTTGATCTTGTGCAGAAATGCAGAGAGGCCTGAGTTACACAACATAATAATGGGATTTTTCTAGACAGCAGTGCCAGCTGTTGTGCTTTCCGATGTATCCGTCGTGGCTCCACTCTCTTTCTTGTCTTCAGGTTTCATGGCAGGAAACAGAAGTACTTCCTACAGGAGAGAACATCGCTTTGAAGGAAGCAGCACGCTGTTTTTCACAGCCATCCACCCATTCCGTTTGCTTCTGGTTATTGTTGCCACCCTAATCCAGAGATCTGTGCTTTTATTTCAACTCACAAGACAGAAAAGAATGAGTGAACACAGAATTCTCTTAAAATACAATTTCCCTATCTACAAAAAGGGGTAACACGTGTATCTTATAGGGCTGACTTAAGTGAAGTGAGATAATGGGTGCAAGAGGGCCTGGTGTTCTTTGGATCCTCAAAAAATGCAAACAATGAGTATTCCTTCTGCCTCAGGCAGAGAAACCCCAAATCCCATAATGTCAGATCCTCTGATGGGCCTCCTGTGGAGTCACGTGTAACTCCTCTGCCTGCCCCGCCTTCCAGCCCAAAGCCCTTCCTTTGCTCTCCGGGGTCCACCATGCCCCGCCTCCGAGGGCAGGGCTCCTGCAGGGCAGGGGGCACGGGGGGCCACTCTACCTTGATGTTATTGGAATCTGTGAGAAACATGGTGACGCGATCGATGCCCATGCCCCAGCCAGCCGTGGGGGGCAGCCCATATTCCAAGGCAGTGCAGAAGTTCTCATCTATGAACATGGCCTCATCGTCGCCAGCGGCCTTGGCCTAGGAGAGAACCAAACAGCGACACTGTTCCAGGCGGTGCTGTCTCTCAGTGTCTGAGTGAGCGTAACATGTTCAGTGCGATGACCGTTCCAGGAATGCTCTGGAAACCAAGCATTTATTAGGAATTGGTTTCCTAGTAACTTCAGGATGGACCCATTTCTTTCAAAGACCTGGTCAAGGCTGGCAATCCCCACTTCAGAACACAAGCGACTTTCTCTGTGAAATGAAAATACCTCCACTGCCCCAGACGACTTTGTGAGTGCATGGAGACTGATTTCATACTGAGGATTCCCAAGTCTTTCCCTCATTTCCTGAAACCAGCCATCCGTGGCAGCGCTGGCACAGGCAGCTTGTGAGGGCTCTGTCTTCATCTGCCTCTTATCCCCAACCCATCTTAATAAATGCACCATCTAAGAAGAAAAATTATGTTCTTGTAGACAAATGCATTTTCAAGGCAAATACTGGGCTCCCACACAGACACTATCACGTCTAAGCTCCTTTACATGGAAATTCCAAGGTCCAAACTCGTCAAATTCTCCATCTTGAAATATGACCTCCTCCAATGAAGCCTGTGGCTTTATTCTTCATTTCTGTTAAAGTCACCAAGAGATGCAGACAGTGACACAGACCAGAGTTAAGACTGATATTTTCTAGTGAGTGGGCACAGGATGAGGTATGTGCCTTTGCC